CATTACAATTCATTGAATACATTATGATAACCTTACATTATAAGCTAAAGTATTATACTTAGATTATAACTTTGAAGACAGACTAAAATTCACCTTGTAAAAGATTTTATATTGTTTGTATAAGGCATTCATATACTTGTAAAAACTATATCAATGTGTTAAAAGCAATATAGACATGTCAGATTACTATCAACTGTATCATAAAGTAAAATAGTGCTTTCCTTTTACATCTAAATATAATATTGGTTTTGTTTTACAGCTTTGCTACTATTACAAACATCGATTACATAATCAATGCTGAAGATTGAGAGCACATATAATGATACTCTTACAACTGTCACTCTTTCTCTCTGACCTCTACCATCTCTCTAAGTCTAACCCTCTACTCTAACACTATGTTGTTAGTTTTGTTCTCTCCAGCCTAGTCCTCTACTTGTAAGTGTTCTCTAGCAGGTACTCTAAGTGTAATAACACAGACAATAAACATTGTTACAACTTGTCTCTCTGATCTACTGTTACAGTGCCTGTACAGAGTCTCAGATTGTATGTTGTACTACTGAGCTGACTACACTGTCCTTTAATGTAAAGTAGTAAGTATCCAGTCCACTTTATAATAGACTGTACAATAGTTACTTATTCCTCTCCTCCCAACTTTTTGTCTCCCTTCCATTCCTTCTACTCCTTGTCTTACTGCTTATATTGCCTCCCCTTTGTTGACCTCCTTTTTTTATGTTTGTCTCCCTTTTTGAATTCACATTCACACATTTGTATTATTGACTAATACTGAACAACTTCTCTAATAACTCTATACATTTGTGTACTTCTTTCTACTCTGTAGTGTAAGTAAGAATTGACAAGTACATACAAGCATACTTGTAACAATGTTCATGTATGACTACTCCTATTGTACCACCCTCTCCCTAACACTGTATGTGTTCTACTCCTTTGTACATTCTATGTTTGACATTACTCTTGACAGGTTTGCCCTACACACATTTACATTCCTCAGTACTGTCTATAATACTATTTTGAATAAGGTAAGTAGTAGTTATCACTTACCCCTCTCAAGCTGAATCTGTTCACATTACCTACTTCACCCTCTCCCTTCAAGCTAGAACATTCTAGAGATACACCTTTACAACTACACACAATAACTAAGTTCTCTACTCTGACTATGTCTTACAATTGAACATGTATGTAATGTACACATACAGGTACAGCTTTGCTTACTACTCAAATCAGCTTGTTTAACACTCTGAATCCTAACCTTAGTACACTACTCACACTTACTACACACTGTTATAGTACATTCACCTTTTCTCTCTTATTATTACTTACTAATTACTCTAAACTTGTCTTACAGGCACAGCCTTAGCCTCTACAACCTGCTCAACCTTAATTTACATACACACACTATTAAACTTACAGGGACTGAGTGACAACCAAAGTGTAGTATTAAAGACTATATTAAACAGTCTGAGAACACATTCTTCCTCTTCTGTTATAAATACTGTTAGGAAAAGAACAAGGTAGAAACAGCTTATTATACACTATAAGTACTATGAGTGTCTCTTTATTAGCATCTACTACTGATTCTAATAACTATAGTGAATTTGACTAGCTCTCTACTAATAGTTCACTGTATAACTGTCTGTTTAGATATTTGTACACAAGGTGTAGTAGTGTGTACAAAGTAAAGATAGTAGACTTTAGTGATTTTAAGATGAGTGATTGTAAGGACTGGTTCAACTACAGACACAGTCATAACTGTTGAGCCTCTCAATACTCTCACTTTCTGATAGTCTGTCTGGATCTGGTTAAGAGATAGGTCTAACAATTAACACCTGTAATACACTTGTTTACTACTCAAGTCTAGTCTAATCCTAACCTCTACCTACTTGTATTTGTATTACAACAGATATAAACACTCTCACTCACTTTCTGTACAAATCTTGACACAGGTTACACTATGTATGTGTTTCAGTTTATTTTCCTTAATTATTGTAAATAATAATGTATTATACAAATATTTTAATATAATTGATTTTTGTTATTAAAGAGTTCTGATTTTGGTTACTATCAGATCTTCTTGATTTTATTTAATTCTTTGGATTACATAATCACTTTCTTTATGTAGTTAGTTCTTTTCTATTTAGAATAGAGAAGTAGAGTTTTGACTAGAGTCTATAACAATACTAGAGGAAACAAGCTTACTAAAACCTTACCTCTTATTTTAGAGTCTACTATAAGGGGTAGTGTAAGGGATTACTATATATAGTAGACCATACATAGAACCTCTTCACTAAAAGGGTGCAATGTCAAGCTTGGCTTGACACCTGGTTCACACTATATATACTGATAAATGTTTGTGTCCTAACATTACTCTCCTCTCTAGAGTTATGTGTCCTTACATGACTAGTATATAGAGTTTGACTCTAAGGGTTACTATTTCTAGTTTAACCTTGACAGTCTTTAGAGGTAGGGAGAGATATCCTAATATAGAGTTCTGGCCCCAGTATTCCAAGCAACTAAGAAATTCACTCCCCCCCTTTTTAGGAAGCTTATTCTCAGTCTAATACTTTTGCTCACAGACAACCCTACATTAGGATCAAACCCCTGACTGCTCTAAGCTTGACATTATGTAAGGGATTACTATATATAGTGGACCATACATAGAACCTCTTCACCAAAAGGGTACAATGTCAAGCTTGGCTTGACACCTGGTCCACACTATATATACTAATAAATGTTTGTGTCCTAACAGCTCTATCTAGAGCTGATTAATGGTTAACACTATACAAGAGCCAATATTAAGTAACTAGTTAATGTACAGAGTAAGAAGGAAATGACAGTACAGACAGAGTTTGACTACTACTGTTACAAGTTTTAGGTACAAGTAGAGTACTTGAAAGAGTAAGGGAAGATGTTAGTACACAAGTTAGAC